AGGAAAATGGAATGGAGCAAAAATAAACAGAGATTAAGTAATATGAAGTATTGGTGATGATTATGAGAACCTAAAACCAATAATGGCAATAACAATAATAATATTAACAACAAGAATATCCATGATTGTAACAACAGTAATAGTAACAGTAGAAGTAGTAGTAGTAGAAACGCATTCTTATACTGACCACCGTTTTAATTAAAGAGGTTGAGCTACACGCTAGAGAGTCTGACGGCGAGATAGAAACAATTGTCACTTAGTTATAAAGTCAAATGTGTCAGAGGGATTGTGCAATTGTTCGGTGGATTAAGAGGTTTGGTTGCAATATCAAGTATTCCATGTGAAGGTTTTTATCTCTGAATTTTATGCATGCTAACGGAATTGGGAATACGCAGCATAGGTTCGAAAGGATATGAATTAGAGTTTTATTGAGTGCTATAGATTAGGAATGGTGTTCGCTACATGATGTAGAATTCAATTTTCTTACCCTAAATCCTTATATAGTATAGAATAATCCTACAATGATATTCTCTACTAGTCAGCAAAAGGCCACAAGGCTGAGTATGATAATTAGATATTTTTTGAAAGATAGTTTCATAATTATATAGAATGGACAGTGTTTACAAGTCGTTACAAGTGATAAACATAGACAGGTGAGTGGTGTTTGGTAGCTAGTAATCACGAGTGAATCACTGGCATAAGCCTCTAAGTGTGACAAACTCCAGTTAAGAGCCTTCACATATGAAAATCATTTTTGAAAATGGATACCAAGTGGACAAGAAGCAATATAGTGCCTGCGTCTGTGCCGATGGAGCAAATAAAGTTTATACACACGCTCATACATATATAGACATGTGCGTACGTGTGTGTGTGTGTGTGTGTGTACATATTATATACATAATATGTATAATATATATATATAACATATATAATATATAATATAGATATAATATACATATGACATATACAATATATTATATAACAGACACACTCATACATATATATATTCAGAATTAGAGTGGGATTAGATTTATTTGCCTTATAACTTTCCGGTAACGAAGTTAACACCCCACCACGATTAGTTCAGCAGCAACTTTTTTGCTATAAAACAGTATACACAATACGACAATGCTAAAGATTATAATAGTTATGCGGTGAACGGCATCGCATAAAACATTCATGCAGACTGAAACAAGGAAATTTAGTAAGGGTAATAACCATAAAATAACACATGTATACAGAAGAGGTAGATGAGAGTGATCAAACCTGAAAAAAAATGTAACAGAATCTCCTTCTCCTGGGTGAGGACAACCTTGGAGGAGTATGTGATTATTATTATTATTTTTTTTTTTTTTTTTTTTAATAAATGTAAATATCTCCTACCGGACGGGAGCGGATACTTATGATGATGTTAATAAAGCATTTTGTCGAATGGGAACAAACCTGTAAATGTAAACAGCTTCTGCCGGATGTGAACTAACCTTTCTATGGATATATAGATCAAAATCCTTCTGAAAGATGTGAACCAACCTTGCTGTGGGTATAAGCAAAGCCTACCAGCAAATATGAACAAACCTTTTTTTTCCGGATGTGCATTTCAGACGATGTCGACGTGGAGCAGACCGTGCCTCTTTTACAGACAGCAGAAACGTCTTGTAACAATGAAAGTCCTGGCGATGGAGGGCCATGGACCAGTAAGCCCTTTGCATGTCATGAAACCGTTGCGTTGACTTGAGTGTGAAGGCATCGAGGGTTTGGTGGTGACGGGGCGTGACTTGGGGATAAATCATATTAAATTATCTAAATATGCACTTTTAATCGCGTGAGACCGATGTCATGAATAACAATATTATGAAAATAGATACAAGTATAATTCAAAGAAATGCCACACTTATGCACAAAACTTAAAAAAAAAAAACATTAATGGATATTCATCGTGTGACGATGGAGTGTGCACATAATCGCAGGAAAAATAATTGCTAGTTACACGTACACAGACTTTAGGACGATCAGCATGTGCACACATTTCCATAATCTCTTGGCGATTTCATTCAATAGCAGTCGGTTTACGAGCACCTCACTGTTCTTTGGTTTCACTATTATTATTTCTGAAATGTTTTCCTTTGTTTACGGTTTTATTAAATTTCACTTGCACCATCATTTACTATTTCCTTTCCACCTTTCCTTCCATTCACACTTGTCGCTTACTTTTCCTGCGCATTTCATTTTAACTGGGAGCTATGAATACTCAGCAAAGAAGTCAATACAGTACAAATATGAACATGCAAGGAGTTTAAAATGTATCAATATGTACATTCACCCAACATTTATTCTGCACTTGAGTTTTCTTTTTACTCACAAGATACTTTTCTTTCCTGAAAGTGTATTATATATTTTTTAAAGGCATTAGTTTTGTTTATTAGTCCTGTAAAATGATTAACTTGGTGGTGGTGTGTGTTTCACTCTTTCAGCATTCAGGTGAAGGTTTCCTCTCCTGTCTATTACGGCCAATTTGCAATGATTAGAAACCAAATTAAATTATCTACATCAGGTAGAGGAGTAGGTCATGAAAGAAAACTTATTAAAATGATTTAACCGTGAAGAATTATTATTATATATATATAAATAAAACATTTTCCAAAATATATTACTTGTAAAGAGAGAAAGAAAAAATAGAAACTACATTACATAACACTGGGTTCTAATATCATCCTCGTCTTAGCGTTTTACTTGCTGGGTCGGAACTTAACGCATGTACCTCTCCGCAGCCGTTAGCGAAGTCCCGAAGGAGGTGGAAGCGACGGAGGTGGAATCTGCAGGAGTTAAATCCATGGCACCGGAAATGAAGGTAAGTCAGGTTCACCATTGCAAGGTTTAAGTTTAGTCACCATTGCAGAGGTTTAAGTTTAGTCACCATTGCAGAGATTTAAGTTTAGTCACCATTGCAGAGGTTTAAGTTTAGTCACCATTGCATAGGTTTAAGTTTAGTCTCCATTGCAGAGGTTCAAGTTTAGTCACCATTGAATAGGTTTAAGTTTAGTCTCCATTACAAGGTTCAAGTTTAGTCACCATTGCACAATGCAGCTGAGAAACCTAAGTGAGTTTATAGACTATGGCGTAACAAATTTTAAGGTTATACTGGGCCGTGCACAGGGTATGTATAAAGTTGTAGAGATAGTGAGTTTCGAGGAGAGACCGAACAAACCCGAACTATCAGTGATTTCAGATTAACCAAATTATTGACTCATTACGATTATCCGAAACAGAATCAGGTCAAGCAATTAGTGAAATTAAAATGTAGATAATAAGAAGTTAATGGAATCCTTATGTGATCCAGCTATTAAAGAAAAGAGAAAAAGAAAAAAAAGAAAACTAAGTAGATTACGGCCGCCCGTTTGGAAAAGTAGATTATGTAGAGCTCCTAAACGAGAAGGGGGGGGGGGGGGAGAAATGCATTAGATGTCGACAGAGAAGATATTCCAAACGTAGAAAAGGAAGAATGCAATTTCAAAGTCCAAAGTTTCAAGTTCAAACAGGTAAAAAAAAAAAAAAAAAAATGAATAAGTAATAAAGAAATATAAAATAGATAAATAACTAATAAAGAAATATAAAATAGGTAAATGAATAATAAAGAAATATAAAATAGATAAATAAATAATAAAGAAATATAAAATAGATAAACAAATAAATAATAAAGAAATATAAAATAGATAAATAAATAATAAAGAAATATAAAATAGATAAATAAATAATAAAGAAATATAAAATAGATAAATAAATAATAAAGAAATATAAAATAGATAAATAAATAATAAAGAAATATAAAATAGATAAATAAATAATAAAGAAATATAAAATAGATAAATAAATAATAAAGAAATATAAAATAGATAAATAAATAATAAAGAAATATAAAATAGATAAATAAATAATAAAGAAATATAAAATAGATAAATAAATAATAAAGAAATATAAAATAGATAAATAAATAATAAAGAAATATAAAATAGATAAATAAATAATAAAGAAATAAAAAATAAATGAATAAGTAATAAAGAAATATAAAATAGATAGATAGATAATAATGAAATATGAAATAGATAAATAGATAATACTGAAATATAAAATAGATAAATAAATAATAAAGAAATATTAAATAGATAAACAAATAAATAAAAGAAATATAAAATAGATAAATGAATAATAAATAACATAGATAAACAAAATAAATAAAATAGATAAACAAATAAATAAATGAAATAAAAAAAGCCAAAGAGAAAAAAGAAGAAGAAAAAAACGTAAAGCAAAAGCAAAAAGGAAAAGCAAAAGTTACATACCGCATTTTCACTTCACAGGCTTCACCCTTGGCATTCCCGACACCGTCATGGGTCTGACTTTCATCGCCGTTGGAGTGTCAGTTCCCGATGCTCTCTCATCTCTCTGCGTGGCCAAACAAGGTAAAGGGAGATGGATGAGCGCTGGAATTATGTTAACGTGTGTGTGGTAGAAATGGATGAGCGCTGGTATTATAGGCCTATAAACGTATGTGTGGTAGAAATGGATGGTCGCTGGCATTATAGAAACGTGTGTGGTTGAAATGGATGAGTGCTGGCATTATAGAAACGTGTGTGTGGTAGAAATGGATGAGCGCTGGCATTATAGAAAACGTGTGTGTGGTAGAAATGGATGAGCGCTGGCATTATAGGCCTATAAAAGTGTGTGTGGTAGAAATGGATGAGCGCTGGCATTATAGGCCTATAAATGTGTGTGTGGTAGAAATTTGATGAGCGCTGGCATTATAGGCCTATAAACGTGTGTGTGGTAGAAATGGATGAGCGCTGGCATTATGTAAACGTGTGTGTGGTAGAAATAGATGATCGCTGGCATTATATAAACGTGTGTGTGTGGGTATGTGTCTGTGCCTGTGTGTATGCCTATCCACGTGCCATGTGTGTGTTATTGCACGAACACACAGAGAGAGAGAGAGAGAGAATGACAAACATTGTTTTTTTTTTCAGATATATGCATTTGTGCATCCCTTTTCACAAGTGATGTAGACGATTGGTCATTCTTTTTCTGTCGTTGTTGATCAGACACCATGTTAGTACTACTGATAGTACCTGAATATTTAGGAATTTATTATTTCCCTTTCTGGTTTCATTAATATGTGTTTGGTTTATCTATCAGAAAGGATGAAATATGCATAACGCTATGATAGACCACATCCAAAAATGTTTTCGTCAAAGAGAAAGAAAAGAGACTATGTAAAAGAAATATATATATACATATATATATCTTATTCGTTTACATTTGCAATGTATTAAAATACCTACTAATTTTGCAGGTTTTGGTGATATGGCTGTGAGCAACGCCATTGGCAGCAATGTGTTTGATATTCTCCTGTGCTTAGGTCTTCCATGGTTCCTTAAAACAGCCATTGTTGATCCTGGTTCTATTGTCCCAGTCGAAAGCAGAGGTAATTTGTAATGCTGATTTTGTGACTATAATTGTGATCTCAATGAGCAATAAGTAAATAGATAATGATAACTACAACAGGTTTTGCTCTTATGATGATTATTACTACTATTACTACTCCCCTATAATAAACACTCATAATCCCACTGCTGCCACCAATCTCTTACTGATGAAAATCCCTTCATATTCCAGGCCTCACTTACTCCACTGTCTCCCTCTTCTCCACTGTCGTGTTCCTTATTGTTGCAACACACATGAACGGGTGGAAGCTGGACAAGAAGTATGGGATTGTCCTCATGTTTTGGTACCTCATCTTTATGGTGTTTGCCAGCCTTTACGAACTCAATGTTTTCGGATACTTCAATCCCCCAGAGTGTGAGAGCAGTTATTAAGGGGTTGGAAACGGTATTATGTAATTTACATACATTATTGCAGGTGGAGGAGGATTTTTTTTCCTGTTCTTTTATTTTAGTTTTGTTAACCTTGTGGTGAATACTAATAACCTCTTATCCAGATTTTTATTTTTTGTCCTATGAGCTGAAGAAATCAGACTTTCTCTTATTTTATATGAATATTGAGTTTCCTTTTTCAAAAATAACTTGAACATGAGCATAATGATGAATTGAAAAAAGAGTCATTTTCGTTCCTTCACGGATCATACTCATAATGTTGCCATTTAGCATAGAGAAGTTTTTAGAATAGTCATCCAATAAGAAAAGGAAATGATACTAAGAATACATTTGCCTTCACATGAAAATAATAAACTTACTTTTTGATAAGCAGTTCATGTGTTGCAATTTTGTAGCTGTCATCATAGCTTAGCTTTCAGGAGAATACAAGTTTACATGTATCATTTATAAAGTCTTGTTGAATTAGTGCTCTGGAGGTTTTGCGGATGATATCCAAAGACAGTTTTGTGAATGGAGTATAGTGACTGTCCTATGAATGGAAGATTCGTGTTGTTTTAAGAATGGAATCTGAAGGCAAGCTTTGTGAATGGAATATAAAAGGAAGTTTTATGACTGGAATCCAGAGACAGTATTAATAACTTATTCTGCAGGGGATTAAGAACTTATGAATGGAAACTGGCAGAGTTTACATAGGTAATTTCTTCGTCATTGTTCAGGTTGTGATCAGTTCTTTGAAATCGCTGAAATAGATTTTGACGATCCTTTATGTGTATATTATATGATTATACGTATATATATATACACATTCGCTTGGGGTATACTGATCGTTGCTATGGTGGTGATAATCATGATACCATGAACATCATTAATATAATTAATTAGAGTAAATGTATTGGCAGACTTAATGATGGTATTATACTAACCCAACTGCCATAATAAAAAAAATATTACATAGAATAATATGCAAATATTGGAAGAAAACGTATTGCGATATTAAACAAACAATGATAGTTGTATACTCAAATTAATTAAGTAGCCGTGATGATAATTCTAAAGAAAAAAAAAGCATTGGCTATAGTAGAACCATATGCTATAATAGTGATGTGGATGTTTGTGTGATGTTATTTGTGGAATGCCAAAAATAATTTCCTTTATTTTTTTAATTACTTCTGTTGACTTTGTATACTCATGCGCATATTTTGGTATGTGTGTGTGTGTGTGTGTGTGTGTGGTGTGTGTGTGTGTGTGTGTGTGTGTGTGTGTGTGTGTGTGTGTGTGTGTGTGTGTGTGTGTGTGTGTGTGTGTGTGTGTGTGTGTGTGTGTGTGTGTGTGTGTGTGTGTGTGTGTGTGTGTGTGTGTGTGTGTGTGTGTGTGTGTGTGTGTGTGTGTGTGTGTGTGTGTGTGTGTGTGTGTGTGTGTGTGTGTGTGTGTGTGTGTGTGTGTGTGTGTGTGTGTGTGTGTGTGTGTGTGTGTGTGTGTGTGTGTGTGTGTGTGTGTGTGTGTGTGTGTGTGTGTGTGTGTGTGTGTGTGTGTGTGTGTGTGTGTGTGTGTGTGTGTGTGTGTGTGTGTGTGTGTGTGTGTGTGTGTGTGTGTGTGTGTGTGTGTGTGTGTGTGT